TTTTGGTAATATTCTAACCCACCCCCCTTTATTTATTTTTTTAGAAGGATGATTGCTTTCTCTTCATATAATAAAAATAACACCATGATTACAAAATTCTCAATTTTAAAGAAAAAGAAACATGAACAATTTGAAGAAAACTATAAACAATGGAAAGCAAATGGACTGAGCAACAATGCATGCACCTGCCACGATCTTAAGGAGAGCTGTGGATGGACTGATGGATCTACCAAAGTATGCTCATGTTGGCCGATAGAAGAAAAAAAACACTAATATCGGCCAAAATTATCGACTTGCTGATGTATCAGTCTGTCTCTTGTCTGGCGTGTATGAGTTGCTCTTTAGTGAAGGTGATCATTTGATCAGTGGCAACAATCATCCTGGTAAAAGGTACTGTAAAGTAATGGGGGTGGGGGTCTGTAGCTGCAGATTTTTTTCTGTTTTTAGTGTATCTGATGTTGGTCTTATTTCCACCAAAAGAGCTCAAACTAAAAACCTCTTCTAGTCCTGAAATGACCAAATCAATATTATAGGAGTTTCAATGACTTGATATTAAAATCAAATTGAAAATGTCAGATTTTTTTTTTTTTTTTTTTTTTTTGGAGCAGTGTATTATCTGAACTTCTGGATATGTCTAATTTCTATTTTATGTTTTACCCTGTGTTGGTTTTATCATATAAAAAGCAATATTATCTGTGTTTGCAATTTTAGAAAACTAAGAAAAGTTTGAAGGGGTATGAGAACATTTGCAAGGGACTTTAAAGGGGAACGCAGGTTTTTTTTTTACATTGGGCCCTTGATTTTATGTTATTAAATCATGTTCTACTCTCCCATATGATTTTTGTGTCATTTGGAGCTGTTCTGAAGATATTCCTTTAGGTTATATCCAAGTAACGTCTTCTATGGGCGACGACTTGAAGGGACAAACTAAACTGTTCATAATTTATTCTTTATGGTACGCCAGCATTCATAACATATAGGCAAATCACTGTCCCCCAGACATCCGTGGTTATATTTTTTATATTTATATGTTTTAAAAACAAAGCGGAGTGTGTATGACATCATCCGCGCGCGCCGGCTACCATTCATTCTTCCTGTCCGCTGAACTGCAGCTAGTTTTACTCACATGCCTGGAAGATGTCTAGTGCTACTGCCACAGATGATCTCGCTCTCCAAATGGAATTGAACGATTCAAATTAGCTAGCCAAATGAATAGAAGCAGTAGAGCGTAGCCGCCTGTGGCCCGGGCTTCCTGTTACAACTCCTGTCCGCATGCACGGATGACATCATACACACTCCGCTTTGCTTTTAAAACATATAAATATAAAAAATATAACCGCGGTTGTCAGGGGGACAGTGATTCACCTACATGTTATGAATGCTGGCGTACCATAAAGAATAAATTATGAACAGTTCAGTTTGTGCCTTTAAGTTGTTGCTCATAGGAAGACGTCACTTGGATATACCCGAACGGAATATCTTCGGAAGAGCTCCAAATGACACAAAACTAATATGGGTGAGTAGAACATGATGTAATAACGTCAAATCAAGGGCCCAATGTAAAAAAAAAAAAAAAAAAAACGGCGTTCCCTTTTAACTTTGTGCACATACCGCTGGTTTTGTATTCCTGCATATTCTGGGGGGTTCTCAGAATGAACAGCTGATATGGTATTAGCAGCCAGCTGCTGCAGTGCACTTGAGGAGAAAAAAGTAGAAAATTTCCCCCCCAAAAAAATGTAATCTTCGAATATATAAATCCACACTAACTAAGAGTTGGAAGGCAACAACATTATTATTCTTCACATTGAGAGGAATGATTTCTAATGCCATGTGCATATTTTGGTTTTCTTTTACTACTGATCTGCTGCCTCACAGCTGTCCTGCAACCCAAACCCAATGCTGACCCCTTCCACCCTGCCAAGAAATGTGATCCTCTACTCAGGATTGGACCACAACTGCCACTGCAAAGGGAGGGGCGGCATGCCAGGGTTGAAGAGGAAGCAGGGACAGATAAGCATGCCGAGAGCTGAATGGTGGGTACACCGGATTAATAGCATGGCACTGGATTTTTTCTTTTTTTTTTTGCATCTCATGAATTTACAAGCCGTAATCCCTAAAAAAAGAACACAGCTGCTTTCAGCCAGACGTCACAGCCGCTACATAACCAGTTCCTGTGTAAAGACCTCTCCTTAACTGTAAAAACTGTTTTCAACTGTGGACATCTCCCAACAATAAAAAAGAAACACATTTGAGACGATATGGAAGTAGTGTATAGGAAGTAGTGTATGAGATGTATTAGTGGGAAAAAATAACATCCTAGTTGTGCAAGGCCCATTTAGTTAATTTCAAACTTCAACAGATAATGCTAATTTGGTCTTAGCGTCTTAGTTGGCTAATAGATAGTTCATAGAGATATCATTAATTGATGTAAAAAAAACTTCATAACGCCTTCATAGTTGTTTATTATGCATTTTGTGTATGCATGCTAAAATTATGTTTGCAAATTCTTATATTGCTTATGAGGTTGTAATGTTGTTTGTAATGTCTAATATAATCAGTGCTAGATTGAATACATGGCTGAACAGCTTAGGTTCACCATTTGGGAAAATAATTATTAATTTTGTTTTTTTCTTGCCCTTATTAATGCATTGTAAAACGTATGTTATAAGTATTTATGGATCAATTAACATATCTAGAAACTGTTTATTTCCTAGCTATAAGAGAAGCCTTATTTTAAAGTGGTACCTTAAATATCATAATTTAAAGGTATCATAATCCCGCCCTCTCCAATTAAAAAAAAAAAAATGCACATGCACATCCTATTAAACTCGTTCAAGAGCATGCCTAAGCCCATTTCTCCTTGTGCATGCTCTGTTTAAAAGTTGCTGTTCTCATAGCTCCTACAAGCATACTGTGTCCGATCATCCGCCCTAAGCCCTACAGTAAATGCCTCAATTACTATATAGAGCAGGGACTATACAGTGGACTTTATAGCGAACTCAGATAATTCAATTCAGTTTATTTATATAGCACCAATTCACAACACATTTCATCTCAAGATTCTCATCTCAGATTATACAGTGAGATTGATTCAAAGTTTTCTATCTAAGGAAAACCAGTTGATTGCACTCATTGACTCAAAGGCAATCCCTCACACTAAGCATGCTTGTAGCGACATTAGAGAGGAAAAACTCCCTTTTAACAGGAAGAAACCTCCAGGAGAACCAGTTAACTGACCATTTGATTTCACTGCTGCAGTGGTCACTGCTTTCTGGTCCCCGTTGGTCACATTACTCCTCCTCCATTGCATGGTGCCTGCGCCATCTTTGATATTAGTCACCGCTGTCAGATAGCGGCAGCCTTTGGCAACAGCAGCATACACTCCCTAGACACTTTTTCTCTTTAGACCCTCAGCCATTTTCAAAGAACGGCAGTGAGAAAGGTGAGCTTCAATGACAGTCTTAAACCGTAGCTCACCACACATATATACCTGAAAGTGCATATGTGCAGAAAAAGATACAGGACGAACGCGAAGGAGGGCCTTACGTAAACATATCACCAGAATGATTGACAGTTGGGAGGACCACTTATTTAGATAATCCACCCAAAAATAAAAGATTGTTCTCTATACTTTTATGTATTAGACCACCACAAAATAGTGTTTTTTCAGCATATATATATATATATATATATATATATATATATATATATATATATATATATATATATATATATATATATATATATATATATATATATACCCAGTTTGGACAGTTATTATGCTAGTTGTATTTGTGAGGATAAAATTTATTGTTGAACAAATACAGCCCTTTCGGTCAATTAAGAATGTTATAAACCACTCAAACCTGAACATTTAAGAAAGTAAAAGTGAGTTTTGCTTTCTTATTGCAAAATCTGTGTGTACGATTAGTGTGCACAATTAATATGCAACTTCATTAAAACTGAACATTTGTGCACTTGAGAGAGAAACAGAGAACATAAAGCAACACTGCATAACTTTTTACCCAATTATTAGCTTAATTTGAGACATATTAAATTATTTTTAGGCCAGTATATAGCAATTGGCTGGTATCGAATTATATATCAACGGTCATCTGTCAATCAATTTTTTTTCAGTTATAGCATCTGGATTCATATGTTGCAGCTAATATAATATAATATAGCAACGGTTGAAATAAGAAATAAGAATAATTTATTTTAGCATTGAGTTCTATCCTAGTGTTTACGAGGATGGACATCTGTGTCTTCTGCAGGCGTAGAGCTAACAGACCTGGCAGCGTTGCGAGGCAAGGGCTCAAACATGTACGGCTGGAAGCCTTCTACACCAAACCAAGCTTCTGCCGCCCTGGCGTCCTCTTCCACAACATCTTCGTCCCCGCTTTCCTCCTCTAAATAAAAAATATATGACGAACCTTCCCGCTCCCTTGATAATCGACCAATCACACTCACTTTATTGTGTAAAGTCAGGCACCACTCGGGAGAATTCCGAACTGCAACCGTTGGAACAGCCGCTTCCCTACGACTATGAGAACGAGAGCTAACTAAGCTAAAAGTGGTTGCTAGGCAAAAAAAAAACTGATATTACCCTTACCTGATCAGATGTACATTTGTTTTGGTTCTCTGATGTAGAATATAATCTAGAGGGGTGAATGTGGCCTTGTATTTATAAGTGACTCGATGACCTTTTAACCTGCTGGTTCAGATATGTCTGCTCTCGGATTCCAAAACTCGAAGGGAGAATGTTTTATTTTGCAACAGTGCAGCGCAGCAAGTTGCTTTCAGGGGGGCTAAACTCTGACGTTACAGATGTAGAGCTCCTAGTGGCTAAAAGTTAAAAGGTGATGTTTTAACGACCAGTAAATAAGTATCAAGTATTATTCATGACGATGTGATTCTAGGTGTTTTTCTTTCCCTTTTAATCACTACAAAGCCATGTTAGTAAGAGTTGTGCAACACAACACTTCCATGCACACACTCCCCCCATGCAACCCAATCCAGCCAAGTGAGGTACTTACATGTAGCTTAAGTGGTGACCCAGTGTGTTAGCTCCAGCACCCTGCCTCTCTACCTTAAATAATCTCTCTCACTGCCATAGTCCATTAAGGAGCCCGCCACATCAGCAAAGTCCTCCAGGACCAGGCTAGTAGAATCCTCACCAGATGGCATCTCCGCGTCTGGTGCCCAAGGGCGCTGATAGGGGCCATGCTCGGGGGGCACATTGCTGCCAGTTGTCCTTGGTCCCTGTGGATCATGTTTGAGGGTTTGAGATGGTCCGGGATTGGACACCTGGTAGGCTGGTTCTGGACGCTGTTGTTCTTTGGCGCCGCCACCATCACTACCGCTGCCACCTTCACTGCCCTGAGAGGAGGGTGCCAGGACATGGTACAGGCTTGGAAGGCGGATGTCCAACAGCACACCACTCTTAATGTAGAGCTTGTTGTTGAGGTTGTAAAGTTTTTCGGAAATGTCATAGCCAAGCATTACGGAGAAGAGACGGGCAATGTAGCGGTCCTTGGATATCAGCATATAGAGACGGCGGCGACTCCATGAGACATAGCGAGAGTCTTCTTCTGCCGTCAGTGTCACCTACAGAAAGTTCAAGGTCAAACCCCTTCATTTAAACACACTTAAACACATTAAAATGTCTGTCTACTTTTGGAAGTATTATCTTCCTGCTTTATTAGAGCATGCCTTTCTGTTTCAAAGCCTTGCAGCAACAGAGTAAAGGTGGACTCCTTCATTGAAAAGAATATTTAAAGGTATAGTGAACAATTTTTCCTTAGACTGAGGCAATGTGACAGTATGGTGCTATCACTATGCCTCCAACTGATTAATCAAAGGGGTATCCTTTTGTCTGACTGATAAATGTGACTTCCCCTGGGGAGTCTGTGGCCTCAAATCCCTCCCGGGGAATCTGCTGTGTACCTTGCAACAGTAAGAAACACCCAAGCCACCTATTCAATGACTGTGCATGAGTAAGACTATCCTACCTGCTCCTCTGGGGTGCACGAGCATGCTCAAACCCCCTTGACCTTGTGCACAGCTCTGTTTATCGTTTGTCTGCATTGCTTGAAGACCCCAAGCAAAAGAAGATACTTACATTACGCTATGTCAGATTTTCAATAGATTTACATAAACACTACAAGTGCACATGCACAGAAACAAGACACTAGCTTGAGACAATGATGTGCAGTAGCATTAGGTGAGCATGTCACATAGACTGGCATGAGCTCACAGTCGAAAGATTGTCCACTATACCTTTAATGAAGAGTCATATGAAAAAATGGCTGCAGAGTTAGCTTCAACAGACTAAATTTAAGTGATCTGTATGTTGGATATAATACCTGGAACTTCCCCTCTTCGTTTGGTCTGAGAGACTCCCACTCAGGAGAGTCGAGGAACTGATGGCGGTGAATGTAATGCAGGAACTGACCCTCCAAAGAGACATTGATCCTGTGAGCAAAAATGAGAGAGATAAGGTCAAACTGAAGAGGAGAGGATTAAGATGTTTGTGGGACAGAGTGAGGTGGAGGTCTTTTCAGTCGTAATCTGTGATGCAATATGCAAAGTAAGTATTGTGGAGAGTTAGCATATTTTACAATTTCTGTCCAGTTATCTATTAACCACAGGTGAGGCATGTGGAGTCAAGAAGTCATCTCCATGCCATATATCTGTCAGCCCAGCACAGGTGAGTCCAATCTGCAAAGGTAGTTAAGTTGTGCAGATTGGACTCACCTGTTACAGTGTGTCTAATCTACTATTAGCTGTGACCCATCTCTGAGATCTCTATTCATGGAGTTAATGGTTTGGAAAGAAAATCCAGATATCTCTTTGCATTCTGACACTAGGAAAAAGCAAGGCACTCCCTGCAACGAAGGGTTCAATTAGTCAGTTTAGCCAGTTCTTAGGTCAGGGTCCAGCAAAAGTGGTCTAAGTTCAGTGAGTCTAGGAACTAAGGCTAGATCCTGGCTGATAGGTAAGACATTATTCTGGAACTCAGGCCCCGTCCACACGAAGTCAAAACGAACACGAAACGCTAATATTTTCCAGAACGTTTGTCGTAAAGACGGAGACGTAAAATAAATGTGATCGTCCACACAAATGCATGAAAACGCTGCAAAATGTATGCCAGGCCTGTAAGTGGCGCTGTGGTGCCAAAGCAAAAATAGGCGACGAAATGTTGGGCATGCGCACTAATATTTATACATGGTTGCCCTGCGGGTCCATTTTCGTGGTTCAGTCAAATTCAGGTGCTGAACTATGTCGTCAATATTGCTCTGTTCTTCCTGGAGATATTCCAGAAGAAGAAGATTCTGTTGTAAGCCCGACAGCAGGGTGAGTAGCATGAGCAGCAACAATTCAACACAGTACGGCGCCATTGTTGTTGTGATACTGTGTCGCGCATGCGTGTTTAGAGGCGACGCCATGACGCATGCGTGTAAGAAAAAAAATGTGGTTAGAGCTTAAAGATGGAAACGCGAAAACGGCGTTTCAAAATCTTCCCACTCTGAAGGCTAAATAAAAAAAAGATCGTTTACAGACCCCCGAAACGCCGGCTTCGTATGGATGAGAGGCTGGTTTGGTGAAAAATTTGTGCGTTTAGGCCAGGGTTTGGCTTCGTGTGGACGGGGCCTCAGACAAGAGCAGCAGGAAAATTGCTGCTAAAACCCAGGCTGAAATTGCACCACGAGTAAAAAGCCACCAGCAGTGCCCCCCTCTGGAGCAAAAAATAAAAAATGACAGTAGGAGATTGGAGGAGGACAGCTGTAGATTGGAGAAGCATTCTAGGTAGACAGAGCACCAGAGCAGGGTGAAGGCGGCAGCTGGCCAAGGCTGGCTCTGGAGGCTAACAATGGGAAGTCTAAGAAGGACAGCAGTAAATTGGAGATGTCAGCTGGGCAGAGAACTCTACAGCAGGAAGAGGAGTCCCTACCTTTTTATCCCTTGGTGTTAACATATATTAAGAACCTAATTTCCTCAATGAAACAAGGAGAGGGCACTATCTTGCTCCATGAAAGTTTCTGTAAGGGTGGAAACAGTTTGACAAATCTTAAAAAGGCTTGCTTTAATCTTTTAATGTGATCATCCTGGTTAGGGGTATTCAATTTCAGTCTTCGAGGTCGGGTTTCTTGAAACCCTTTTGAGGTGTGTCTGCTTCAGCAAATCTGAGTCGAATAATCAGGTCATTAGGACTCTGGAGAACTTGACTGCATACTGAGGAGGCGAATTATTCACATGTATCAGTGTTTTTCCTTTTTCCTTCAAATGAAAAACTCTTTCCTTTGTTTTGTTTTTTTCTTCTTCAATATTTAGGTCAAAACAAAATTAAATTACAGTTAAGTAAAACCTAAAAATACAAAACATATGTTGGCCACTTCGAGTCTGCATTTGTGGCACATTAAAAACAGGCACAAAATCTGCTTGCGTAACATCTCAGCACTTCCTCGAAAGCAACAGTTCTGGTATTTGTTTGTTGTTCCAAATTTGTCTCAGTCTCACAGCGCTCTCTACCTCATGGAAAAGATTTAATTCAAGGTAAAGGAAAGCAGGCCGACTCTACTCCCTTATTGTGGGTATAAAGATATAACTAAAATACTGGTGGATTGCACTGGGACCCACACTGATGAGTCACGGACAGAAATATTCTGTTTACAACATTTCTCTGCTGTAGCTTCGAGAGATCTAATGCAGCTCTGCTCTGAGGATGTTTGGATGAAGAGAACATTTCCTGTGAGGAAAAAAGCTGCCAAGAGTCAAAACTGACTAATTTTAGCAAAGTTACTTATAATAGCTTAATAATAGACATAGTTATTTAAAACTGTCAAACAAGGCAAGACAGAACCCTCTCTGGTAACTTAGCTTCATCCTGTGAAATATTATCATCTTAAAAGGATACATCTTTTTTTTATTTAGATAACATCTATAAGAGGAACTTTCTTGATCTTTTACAAGTACATGGTATCATGCTAACTCAACATTTATTATCTTGAGTAAGACCGACTGCAACAGCTTTGATTCTTAGAGCATAAACAGCATACCTCCAGAACTTTGCAAAAGATTCAGAACCACCAGGGTTATTTGTGTCTAAGGATCTTGTTCATTTTTAATTTATGTATTTATGTATTTTGCGCTGAGTGGGCAGTTCTTGTGCTGCAGGGTGGTGCAGTGGCAAAATCTTCTGTGTTTGATTCCTGACCCAGGGTCTTTCTGCATGGGGTTTGCAAGTTCTCCCTATGCATGTGTTGGTTTTCTCCCGGTACTCTGGCTTCCTCCCACAGTCCAAAAACTTGACTGTTAAGTTAATTGGCTTCTCTAAGGTGTGAGTGTGAGTGAGCAAGCATGGTTGTATGTCTCTGTGTTGCCCTGCGACAGACTGGCGACCTGTCCAGAGTGTACCCCGCCTTTGCCCATAGACTGTCGGAGATAGGCACCAGCCCCACCGCGTCCCTGACAAGGACTAAAGGCTAATTTATACTCAGAAACCAGGTCATCTTCATGTGTCGCAGTGAATGCAAAAGTTCCCCCACCCCTGCCGCAAACAATCTGGTGCACCTCTCCAAAATTGTAGGTGACCGCAGACAGGAGGCCTCTGATTGATCCAATTTACATCCACTCTACACTATGCGTATTTCCTGTTTGGTATCTTACCAGCTTGTTTTGTTTGTATAACCGCCATTCTGGAAAAAGACTCGTGAAGATGGACCAGCTAGAGGGGCGAGGTGCCCGAGAACGCTGGGACCCTTTTTCCACCCTTTTTCCACCTTTTTTGCCCTCATGTCCCTCGGTTGTCGGACAAACTTGCCCCCACTTCCTCACCGCCTCGGCCGTATCTAGACCCACAGCTAGTTTTTGATTGTCCCTCTTGCGTTGTGGCGTGGAATAACATAGCGCAGACCACACTTCAATATTGGGCATAAATCGAAAATATCTGCGATAAGCTCACTGCGACACACTGCTGCGGCAGGATAACCAGCCCTTTAATAAGAGAAATTGGATGGATGGATGGATGGATGGATGGACGGACGGACGGACGGACAGTTTCCCACGGCTGCAGGAGAAAGGGGGTGCTTCAGCACCAGATAAAGCTAAGAGCTTAAAAAAATCACACCTCTGTTTTCTTACAGTAGTTTCTTTCACAGAAGTTTTGACTCTGTCCACACAAAGCCATGTTCTGGAAGAAGAAAGAATTTGAAACGTGAAACAAGAGTGGGAAAACTTTAAGCCATCCCCTGTCGAAACTTCTTTCGGACAGTTTCAACCACTTAATTTGGCTAAAAGGTATCAGGTGAACCACCTTGTCACAGTGTTGGGTTCATTGTTCTTCTTCCTCCTTCTGTGGCAACATTACAGCATCACCCACTGGTAGGGCAAAACAATTACTACACCAGCTATGGCTCTTACAGTCAAACTTTTCTGAGCCAAAAGCGTCTTCAGCCTCTGACTGGACATCCCACCAAGCAAACAGACATTGAAAAGGCATAGAAAAGATTACATGGTAAACATCCGAACAACGGCTACATTTGGTTGAAAAGTGAAAATGGGAAAAGTCATAATTTTCAGATTGTTAAAAGGTTCAAGGTTTTTTCATTGTCTATTATTGGACTAAAGTGGGACAAAAGCAGACGGAACAACCGCAGCCCAATTTTCAACAACTAGCCTAAAAACCGTCTAAATGATGTCTGATGTCCTGCAGTAGAATTATTGCTTGTATATTTCTTATTGCCTTCAATAATTTCAGATTCCAAAGAAACATATTATACAATGTGTGATTGTAAGAATCAATCGGTCAAACAAAGTATTGTTTAAATTGAACTTGGACTTCTCACTTGTTGCTTCATCTAATGAGTGCTGAATAAAATGATGTTGGGTTTTTTTTTCTCAGTTTGAGATCCTGATTCAGTTTTCACCACTTATCACTAAAACTGAAACCCAAAATAGTGGTAGAATAATCTAAATTGGAAGTGGCCATTGAAAACCCCTTTAAGCTTTATGCTTTTATGTGTACTACAGCAGAATTGTCACCTTCCATAAAATGATGAACAGCTGATCAATTATTGGGGATATCAGGGATAAATTAAGCTTTGAGAAATATGAGATAACATATTAACTGACATATAATACTCATTACTTTATAAAAACCTGGTCTTTGTGTGTGTTCAGGGTAAATCCAAATACTCCTCCCTCAGTCATCTGTAAACACTGCAAAAAAGATCTATAAAAAATTTAAATAAGGGCAATTCTCTGGATAAATTAGATGAAATGCCAATACAATAATTATTCTTGCTTTAAAACAATGCTGTTTAGATATTCCATCTATCCATCCATTTTCTTACACCGGGCATCCCCAAATTCGGTCCTCAAGGCCCCCTGTCCTGCAGGTTTTAGAGGTTTCTCTGCTTCAGCACAGCTGGTTATAATGATTGCAGTGGACCAAAAGCCTGTTAATCAGCTTTCAATTAAAATCAGCTGTGATGGAGCAAGGAAACCTCTAAAACCTGCAGGACAGGGGGCCTTGAGGACCGAGTTTGGGGATGCCTGTACACGCTTAATCCCAAGCGGGGAAGCGAGGGGTGCTGGTGCCTATCTCCAGATGTCTACGGGCAAGAGGCAGGGTCCACCCTGGACAGTTCGCCAGTCCATCGCAGGGCAACACAGAGACACACAGGACAAACCATTCACACACACACTCACACCTAAGGAGAATCTAGAGAAGCCAATTAACCTAACAGTCATGTTTTTGGACTGTGGGAGGAAGCCGGTATACCCGGAGAGAAAAACATGCTAACTCTGTGCAGACCCTGGGCCAGGAATCGAACCCAGAACCTTGATGGACAGCATCAACAGCAGTTGCTACCCACTGATGGACTGCATCAACAGCAGTGCTACCCACTGGTCCACTGAGCAACCTTGTTCAGATATTATTTACTTGAAATAAGTTAAAGTCGTAGGGAAAACGGCTGTTCCAACCGTTCCATTTCCGAATTCTCCCGAGTGGTGCACGACTTTACCTGAGTGAAGAAAGTGAATGTGATTGGTCGATTATCAAGAGGGTGGGATTGTTGTGCCGAAAGATTTGCAAGCAAGTTTCGTTGTGACCGGTTTGTCGGAAGCATCTTGCTAACCAGTTAGCAACTTAATGCTAGTAGGTACCCAATGGGAAATAACATTGGGAACAAGTAGCACTAAATATAAATGGATGTTTCTGAGCTTCAGCACACCTGATTCAGAAGATTGCAGTTCAGCAAAGCCTGATAATCTGCTATCAATTGATAACAGGTGTGTGAAAGCTGGGAAACATCTAAAACATGCAGGGCAGTGTGCCTTGATCACCAGGGTTGAAAAACACTGGTGTAGAAGGCTTACAGCCGTACATGTTTGAGCCATTGCCTCGCAACGCTACCAATTCTGTTAGCTCTATGCCTGCTGAAGACACAGATGTCCATCCCCGTGAACACTGGGACGGAACTCAATAGTACAGTAAATTATTCTTATTTCAACCTTTGCGTATATTAGCTGTGACATATGAATCAAGATGCTATGACCGAAAAAATTGGATTGACAGATGACCGTTGATATATGATTGGTCGAATTTAGGTGTTCAGGTTGACGTATAACAAACTGGCCTGCATTAGATAAGAAAAAAAAAAGACAGGATTTTTTTTAAGAATAGAAATTTTCTACATTTTGGGACAATATCGTCTGATAAAGAGTACATTTATATACATGTTTAAGCCAGAATGATTTGACATTTAAATATGATCTCCCTACGACTTTAATGGAGTTTCTATATCATTAGCAGATTGTCTTATACATCAAAGCAAGAAAATATACCCTTATTTCATGAATAATTTACATAAGATTTCTCTTTCTTTTGCAGTGGTCCCTTAGTTGATTTAAAAAAATAACACTAAACTCAGTGTTGAAATAGATAAGGCCAGCTTTCTTGTTCTTGCAGTCACATGGCTACAGATGGACCTGGATCTATCCTCATTTCTACTAATGATGACCACCTATATGAAGTTTGTGTTGCTTTAACACTCAAACACTCCCCACCTCCCAGACAGCAGAAAGGAAAGCTGGTCGATGTACGTCTTCCCCTCCACAGCATACATCTCTCCAGCCTTCAGCTCCACAGCCTTGTTTTCAAAAGCCTTGGCGATGTCCTTGAACACCTGGACAGGCACACCCAGCGGCAGGTAGACGGCCCGGTAGAGGGAGGTCAGCTCCTCGCTGCGGATGCCCTCCTGCTGAAGCCGGTAGAGGAGGTGGCAGATCTGCAGCAGGGAGACCACCAGCAGCAGGAGGTTCCAGGAGAAGACGTCCATGCCGCACACGGTCAACCAGCCCCACAGGGTGAGGCACAGGAAAGCGGGAGACAGGAAGCCGAAGATGAAGAGGGCGCCGAAGGCCCCGCTGCCTCCCATGTAGCCCAGGAACATGAAGGTGTTTCCCAGATGGTAGATGGCCCCCTCTGTGTTGTTGCTCCAGCCATCGCACACAGGTGGAGAAAACAAGCTTTCCCACAGGGTGGAGTTTTCTGCGCTCATGTTTTCGGTTTGTAAAAATCTTACACAGCTCTTGATGCACAGAAAAAATTAAGGAACAGGATTTCAAATATCTAGAGTAACTCCTCTCCTGTCAAAAGCTACAAGCTGCAGTGTTTTGCTTACAGCTGGATAAAAATAAACAGTAAAAATGTTTGTTCCCTCGCAGTCTAGTGGAAAATTCTTCAATGTGAAGAAGTTCTCACGCCTCCGTTTGCTCCAGAAACACAGCTGGAATGGGTCTGCCCTTCTTCTCCTCCTCCTCTCATCCTCAGTCCCTTCCTCTGTCCTCTGGCTCCTCGCCTCGTCTTTGCTCTCCTGCCTGTTCCTCTCAGCCACCAGCCAACACTGAAGAGCCAACAGCTGGAGAAGAAGGGATAAGGGAGGGGACACTGATAGGGCCCTAAAAGGATAACCATGTTTGGAATTAAAACCCAAGGAGGAGAGAGCGACAGACAGAGAGCAGGCCTGCTACTTAACATAACAGAGAGACAGGGACAGGAAACATGGAGTAAAAGATAGGCGGCATGATAAGAAACACACCTAGAGAACAGAAAAAGTGCCACACACCTAAAGTTCAGAGTTTCATCCAAACTCCTTGAGTCCAGTCCTTCCCTACCCCAGGACCGTGTCTTCACGGGTGTGTTTGGAGGCACAGAAATAAACAGAGCAGGAGTGGAGGTCAGGTTTCAGTAAACACATACTAACACCACCAGCGAGCACACAGGGGAAGCTCTCCACTCGCAACTCTAACAGCATCTCAGAAATATGTGGATTCCAGTCATTATAACAAAGATCAGGCTGCATGTATTTAGGGTATTTAAGACGTTACCACAATCACCAACTCATCTGAGGCGGGTTAGTGTGGGTTTTAATAGGACACTTTGAGTGACTTATTTCGTATTCAAAGGAAAATAGAAAAGCGAGTGAATTGGCATGTATTACCAGCTGGCTAAAGCTGGTAATAGAACATCTTCATAACCAAAAATATTCCCCATCCGCTGATCTGATCTTTCTTGTCAGAAAAAATTTAAGGGGGCTTTTTTTCCTGACAGCTGACCAGCAGTGCACAGCCTCAGGTGTGGGAAGTTATAGGGAGGTTTAGATCTGTGCAGCTTCCTCTAGCATCTCATTTAGAGGATTTAAATTTCATGTTAAGATTGATGGAATATTTTCAGTGTTTTTGATACATCTTGTTTCTAGCCTGGATATAAGTTATTGCTTCATAAATATCGACTGAACTGCATAAATAAAAATGAATCTACAAGTGAAATTTGGAGGTTTTCAACAATAAATGCATCTTTTCCTTTTAAAGATAGGCCGATAACTTTTGACCCATGTTAGCATTTCTTCCTTGTATCTGTATCATCTGATACTTGGATGAATTTACTGATTCATTGATGCATTCGGCAGCAATTTCTTGAGATCCTATGCTTTGCTCCTCCATCCATTTGCTAACAATTGTTGATTGTTTAGATTATTGTAACTTTTTTAATTTCTGTGAAGTAAAAGATAAAGCAACATCAGCTCCCAAGAATCAATTCCAAAACATTGAGGATGTTATTCTGATGTCATATTACCCTGTATCAGTCATCTCTACTTCCAGTAACTGAGGTATAAACTACACTAATCACAGTGTTAATTGTAATATTTCTTCTCACATTAAACTAATCAAATTTCCTCATAACTCAGTTTCTTTCAAAGGTTTTCTGACTCTTTACTTCACTAAACACTTGCTTAGAAAAAAAAAACTAACCACTTGAAGCAATTTTTAAACTTAATACCATTTAGATCAATTCCATTTCTTTCTTAATGAGCTGATTTATTAAAATAAAGGGTTAATATATAAAAAAAAAATAAACTGGTTATCACTGCAACCAGTTTTCTAGCAGCGTTAGGATGCATGTCTACAATCAGAACACTTCAGTGACACCATGGAGAATGCAGATATGCCAAGTATTGACTCTACAGGGTCAGGAGTTATTTTTAAGCACAAGTGCATACCAGGAGCACCAACTGTGGGCCAGGCAAACCTTATTACAGAGAGGGACATCGGCAACCTTTCTAAATGAATGTACAAACACTTTTATTGCATAGGACTTTTATTCATGATCACACAGCCTTAAAGATATTCAAACTGCACATTTTACAGAGTTAGAAAAAAAAAATAAAGCCATCCTTTCAAGTGCTTAATATCACATTTCTCTTCCAGTGGAGTTATAAATAAGAGTGTGAAAAAAAGAAAAGGATCTCCTGGGTCATCTTCCACTCACGCCATCACACTGCAGAGGAGACAAGAAATCATTCAGCTTTGTGTTGAAGTTATTTCACAAACTGCAGATTAAATTATAGAGCACAGATGGATGTAAAAGTTACAGCATGTCAAATATATTTAGCAAAAGATTAAATTTAAATGCCAGTGATGTTGAATCGTAAGAAAATGTTAAAACATGAACTAAACTCTGCATAGAGCTTCAGGGTGGCTTCATTTAGCCACAGCAGAGTGCAGGAAGCCTTGCATGGCGGACAGTTTGTTACCGTGCAGAAAATCAGTGAAAACTAACAACTTTAAGTGACAGTTTCCTAACTGTATCAGCATATAGCATCTGAATGGTTCAGAGAAAGGGCAGCCGGCCATTTGCACAAAGCACCAACTCAGTTCAGTTGGGATTTAGTCTGTCAGAACACATCTGGCTGCAAGTTAAAACAGGAGGCTTCAAGCTCTGACAGATAAAATACTACATGTCAAATGATGAGAACAATAATGCATAATAAGGGGTTTTTAAGTCGTAGGGAAGCAGCTGTTCCAACCGTTGCATTTCCAAATTCTCCTGACTTTACCCGAGTGAATAAAGTGAATGTGATTGGTCGTTTATCAAGGGGGTCGGATTGTTGTGGCGGAAGGTTCGCAAGCAAGATAGGTTGTGGCCGGTGTCTAGGAAGCATCTTTCTAACCAGTTAGCAACTTAGTGCTAGTAGGTTCCCAATGGGAAATTCCATTGGGACCAAGTAGCACTAAAAAGACTAAACTACACTGTCAAGGAACGCTATGGACAGAGGAAACATGCAAGAGGAGGAGAGTTTTGTGTCAGAGGTCGTGGATGAGCCTCCTCCGTCATAAATTTTTTATTTAGAGGAGGAAGGCGGGACGAAGATGCTGTGGAAGAGGACGCCAGGGTGGCAGAAGCTTGGTTTGGTGTAGAACGTTTACAGCCGTACATGTTTGAGCCCTTGCCTCGCAACGCTGCCAGTTCTGTTAGCTCTACGCCTGCTGAAGACACAGACGTCCATCCCCATGAACACTGGGACGGAACTCAATGGTAAAGTAAATGATTCTTATTTCTTATTTCAGTCGTTGCGTATATTAGCTGCGACATATGAATCAAGATGCTATGACCGAAAAAAAAAATGTGATTGACAGATGACCGTTGATATATGATTGGCCGAATTTAGGTGTTCAGGCTGACGTATAACTAACTGGCCTGCATGACAGGGTTTTTTTTTTATATATATATAGAAATATTCTCAATTTTGGGACAATTTTGTCTGATAAAGAGGACAGTTATACACGTTATGCCAGAATGATTTGACAATTAAATATGACTTCCCTACGACTTTAAGTGAGATTCTATGGCATTATATCTAAACATCCCTTACTGTTTGAAGAAGAAATGCAATACCAAAAGTCTGCAGAAAAGTGAAGAAATCCACTGAACAGGAAAATCTGTTTTAGCCGATTCTACCCATTTGTTAGGATGTTCCATTATTAGTCACCTATGTGTTTGTTATATTACCTCCCTGTTAAGCAGAGTAGATAGAGTACATAGTCTTCCTTCACATAGTGTAACACTGTGTGTTTACAGAGGCTATTTTAAGAGGACAGGCCTTCTGTCTGAATAATTAGCACAAATAACGGTACATCCCGGAGGCCAGATTGATAAAGAAGAACACATCTGTAATCCTGAGGCTTAGATGCAGAAGGGAACAAGGTCAGGGTTTTGATGGCGTGTCAGGAACTGACACGCACAGCTAAGCATCCACCTGATGCAACACATAGGCCGATGAGGTATAAGAAGCAGGGGATGACCTTGTTTGTTTTTGGATGCAATCACGTGCTAAGGACTTCAGTCCACAGCTGTGCTGAAACGCTGCACTCTCTCTTTTCTGACCTGAACTGATCTGGAATAAATTCTGTTTTACTCCTAGTTATAGTCCTTTTTATAGATTTTCCAAACCTTAAGTGAAAAGTGGTTAAACTTAGTAGATTGCTTCCAGAAAAAGAACTGGAAGGGTAAACACGTTGAGGGACCTTTAGAGGTACCCTGATGATGCGTTCTTACCAAACATATTCAGAGCGCCTGGTTTACATCCAAACAATAAGCAAGACGGCAATGAGGGGCGCCCAGAGGTGCAATATGGCATTAATACATTGTTTCATTGAACCATCAATGCAAATTCAACAGGTCTAAAAGCTTTTGAAAGCCAACTACAAACTTCCTGTTGGAAAGCTGTTTAAAAATATGTGTGGCTGGAAACAAAACACTTACCACAGTCACACAAGAACAAAACACGGAGTTAAACCTTGAATCCAAGTGACCTCATGCATTCTTTATGCGCCTCAATAAGGTCCCTGCAGTTCTCCTCTCCCTTCTCAATGATGCTAGAAGAGACAAATGACAAAAATGTTTTCCACGAGCAAAAGAGGGAAAATACCCCAGTCTAACCGGCTCTCTACTTACCAAGCATCTCTGACTTTTTTCGTTTCTGGACAAGCACAGCATGGTTTCAGAGGCTTCTTCTGCTCTGCACCAGCAGTCACAGCAGGGGTCTCTACACTGGCAGCAGACAGGGACGACATCTTGGGAGCTGAAATACAGCAGATCCTTCAGACATGTTTCCATCAACACCAAACTTTTCCAGAAACTTTCTTACATTTCTCATGTTGATGTTATGACACCAAAGCATTTAATGACTAAATATTTACCAGGCTGGTGTTTAATACAGCTATGAAAGAAAAAACACCACCATGGATTTAGACAAGCTGTAACGGTTCATTAAAGATTGTAATAATATGCATTTATCTCAGGTCAACAGTTTAAGAAATACTTTATTTGTAAATATCAAAGAAGAATGAAAACATTTTAGCTTAAAAACAATGATTGAACTTGGAGACCAAGACTCCATTAACCATTTCGCCTTTTCTCTGCAGGCAGGTTACATTCATAAAGATGTGAACATGTGATAAAACAACTGATCCCACACGCTGTCAATACTGAAAACTTTACAACATGATCAGGACTCCGTTAACACACAAAAAAAAACAAAAAAAAATTTGGTGAGAGTATCCACATTAAATCATCCACTGGTGAAGAAAAGACATTTTACTTCAACTCAAACCAAGACAGGTCACATAAAGCAGGTAAACACTTTGGTTCAAGTCTTTTAAAATATTTCAATTTTTAATACCTTTTCAAGTTTCAACCTTAGTCAGTGAAATAACATGCTGCGGTCATTTTGCACATCTCTGATGTTGCTGCTATTTTTCAAATATCCATTACAGTAGCTATATACTGGTTAATTATTCTCCGGATGTAGAGTTTTATATTGTTAAAGCACTTTACAGTACAGTATTTTATTGTTTATCTTTTAACTCTTCAATATTATT